CGGTAGAACGGTCCCGACGCTGGCTTCTTTCGGGAAGTGCTTTACACTCCACCAATCAGCTAAACTAAGACTGTACTTGCAGCCTGACCACAGCCCGGCGTGTGACAGAGGGCGCGCCGCGTGAGCTGCCTGGCAGCAAGGAGCAGGTCAGCGTTAGCGCTGCGTAACCGGCCGCTGCGCTCCCAAGTCCGAAAACAAGCTGGGGGAAGAAGCAAACGAATACAGGACACCTGGGCTGAGCTGAGTGATGCATCTCAGTTATGCCTTGCTCAGCTCCTGCGATGCGGTCAGCATCCTCAGATCACCGCTCCGCTGCGGTACAAAGGAATTCTCAAAAGCCGGCGCGTGCAGATAACAGGTAAGCGCTAGGCGAGGCGGCGTGAAACCTGCAGAGAGGGAGGAGCGGCTGTCCTCACCTGAAGCTCTGCGTGATGAACCTGGGCGGCTGCCGTGGCCACCTGATCCTCCAGCTCGGCCAGCTCAGACTCGGCAGTGACACTGTTGATCTTGCGCGCGGCGTCTTCCAGGTTGGTCAGCTGCCCCTCCAGCCCGTACACCGTGCTGGCTGTCAGGTACACCTGCGGGGCCAAGGCAGGGAGAGGCGTCAGCGATCCTGTTGTGTGAGCTCGGAGGTTTGGGCAGACTGCATCTTCCATGACACCTGTGAGCTTCCCTCCTTGCTAACCCACCACAGGGAGACCTACCTGGCAGAGGAAGGTCATGGGGGAATAATCTGAAAATACACATCCACAAAGAGAAGGGAGGCATGAGGTGGCTGCACTCCGAATTTCATAGGTGCTACAACAGATTTGTTCCAGATTCGCCAGCAAAAACAGAAGGCAGCTGAAAAGCTTGCTTTTTCTGTTTTTGATATTCAGTTGCGTAACGAAACCCCTCGGCCTCTGAGGGGAACTCAACCCATCGCACCTCACACCGAGCTCTGCTTATCGACACACATCTAATGCCTTCTGGCAATCCCAACTCTGCAGGAACAACTGTTCAGCAGCATATGGTTATTAACTTCTCTCAGAGTAACTGTGCTTACATGTACAGTTTTCCATCCCATCCTGCTCTCACCCAAATACCGCAGCCAAAACCTTGCTGCTTCCTGGCCCTTTGGCGTGAATCTGGGGGGGGTCAATAGACTTATCCGGACCACGTAAGAGAGAATAACAGACCTGATCATTTAGAGATCTTCCCTAAAACCAAACAACTTATATTCTGACCCACCTACAATACCTCTGACAACTGCAGGTCCAGGTTTCATGCTACGCTGTGTTTTATGTGTTTTTTCTTATTTCAAAAAGACATGTAAGGTACATGGCTGAATGGAGGTCTCTCGTTTCTAGAAAAGGCTAATTTTCAAGTGTTAGCTTTTAACATCCGTGCTTAAAAGCGTGCAGACCCATGTGCAGATACTACACCTTCTGCCTATTTACTAGATAGCCAAGAGATTGTTTCCACGAGGCTGGTAACAGCACAGTGGAAATGAAACATATATTCTGATTTTCCCCACTGGCAGCCTCACTCAAATAGCAGTAAAGACTGTGGTGCTGCAAAACCAACATGGATTACACATGCTCTGTGGCTGAGTTCATGATTCAAGGGGCAAGCAAACAGGATCTGAACCAGGTCCTTCAGCAGATACCTTCACTCCATACTTGTTTTCCACTCAAGCCGTTATTTCTGCCCACAATTCCCACATCATGCAGTCTTTTGACGTAACAGGCATTCAGGTAACATCTGGCCATGCTGTGACTTCATGGATCAGAAGTGGTGGAGAATGACTAGATTAAGAGGTGCTCATTATTTTTTATTTTATTATTGTTTCTTAATTGCTTGCAATAGGGTTTTTTTCCCTCTTTTTATCAGTTGTTTCAAGGCATAAATGTAGATACGTTTTTTTCATGAATGTTCAAGAAACAAATTCCCTACATCTTGTATGAACTGGATCTTGTAAGACCACAGCTTAATTGCAGGCATGAAATCTTTGAAAAATGCACCTAGAACAAATAAGTGATCTGATTTAACACTTTTGTTGAGGCACTTGGAGACACAGGTGGCCCATAAAGTTAACATGCTGACTTAAAACAGGAACACTTCTGCTTTTGTGGGTTTCAATTATTCTTTCTTAAATGATGCATCTTTGTGGTGTTAGGTACTAGAGCCATTTCAGATTAAAAGGTGATTTTTTTTAAAGTTACCCTATCCCATCTAAAAGCTCAGAGAAAGAAGGGAAAGGAACATTATGAGCAGAAGCATCTTCAGAAAGTTAGAGAAAAGACGCATTTAAATGCTGTCCCAAATTCTCTGCACAGTAAGTTGTACTTTTCAAGAAGGGGGGGAGGAAGAAATCTAAAGAAAATAGGTGTGATGGAAAAATGTGGGAAGGAAAGGTCATAAATGTTTTTGTACCTCAATCAGTCCCATTTGTTAAATTTTAATTTTACTGAATATTTTCCAGCTAGATCTAAATAAAAGATTTTTCTAAGGAATATTCTCTTTATCTGAACAATCCAATGTGCTTCCAAACAGCAACAGCCTAGCTGCAGGTCCCCACTCCGTTACGCCCTCATGCACACACTCACGTTCAGATTGCACAGACTTATTTTACCTTCATTTAGGTACGTACAGCTTCCACTAAAACCCACCTTGAGCTGGTACAGGTGGCCCTACATTTCCACACTGACGCATGCAGTCCCCACAATGCCAGAGAGAGGCGGAAACAAAGGAAGTGTCTGTATGCACCCTGATCCTCTTCCAAAATTTGCTGCCAAGAGGCAACACGCTGCTTGCAGGTATGCTGCCGGCTGCACTGGGAAAAATTACAGATGCCTGGATTTCTAAAGGGTCTTTACTACGGAGTGTGGTGATGAAATCTTGAAACAATGAAGTTTTCCTGTCTACTTCATACCCTGTGTGGGGGAGAGAGATGTAGGGTGGGGACACAGCAAGGCTGAGCTGGATGCCTTATGAATCACGCAGGGAGCTGAGAGAAGCTAAAGCAGAGACAGGCTGCAAAGAGGGCAACGCCAGAGCAAGAAAGGCTCTGCCTCAGTGCCTCTGCTCTGTGAGAAATGCTCGGCTCGAGTGAATGACCAGTGGCCATGGCACCACAGATGCCACAGCTCCCCAAGGATGGGAGGGATTGTTGGAGTGTAACTGGGGAAAAAATGCACCTCAGGTAGTTCACAACACAGTTCTCCACAGAAAAAAAAAAATTGGAGCCACTCTCACCAAACTGCTCTCAGTCCTCCTGAGGAATTGCTTAGTTTTCCTAAAGTTGTGGTATAGTCTGGACTTGGATTTTTGCTCACTCTCCTGCCAGATGCGTTCTGTGCTATTTGGAGCTTGGATGCTTTAGTATTTCATGGGGGAGAAGATCTCCAACTACTATTATTCTGAAAAAAACCCTGGAAGTTGTTGTGGGGGTGTACCTGTCACGTAAGAATGAAATGGGTGTTGTGGTAGGTGGCAAGAGGAAGACACTTTGCTCGCCACAAGCTCGAGCTGTATCCTTCTCCAGGCCCCTGCCCATTCTGCAGAGAGTCGTATCTCAGCTGCCACATGTCCAGCATCTCCTCAGCACATCCTCCCTTCATGCCCTCCCTGCCCCGCTGCGGGGGACTCCCAAGCCCATTTTCCTTGTTTGTTTTGAATTCCCCTCCCAGAGAGGAGCCAGGAGCACGGCTGCCACGTGGAAAGCCCCATGGTGGGGCATGTGCTCGTGGCTGTGGTGCCTCATGATGGAGGGCAGGAGATGCCAGCAGCCAGGAGAGTGTGTGGGAGTGAGGAGGAGCAGGAGCACCTCAGCTGGCACAGCGGGACCAAGGCGGAGCAGAGGTGGGAAGGAGAATTTTGCAGGTCAGGTTACCATTGGGAGCTGGTTGGGGAGGGGTGAAGGTGCCCTGGGGTGGGCTGGAGTGTGGGAAACCTTGGCTGGTCCGAGGGATTGGAATGTAAGCTTAATATTAACCTTGAGCAGATAACCGTGTACCCTTAAGGAGTCTGGAAAGTCCCGAGAAGAGCTGAGTAAACAAGAGCAAGGTACTGCCTCCGCAAGGAGAAGTTGTTTATCGAAGATGTAACAAAGAAGAGATCATCCTATCATGAACTGTTGGTCCTTTGAGTGAACCAATCATGTATGGACACACATTCTTAAGAAAGATATACAACGGGCTTGTATAAACAATAAAGGGTCCCTTTTTGGCCTTTGGCTTTGCTGCACGATTCCGTGCGTGTCGTGTCCGTCTCAACAGCGACACTGGAGGGCATCCTGTTGGTGTGGGCAGGGGCAAAGGTCTGAGATGGATAAGGTTTTGGAGCAGATGAGGTTAGGAGGGGTAGGATCTAGTTTAGGAGGCTCTGAATCGAAGCAGAGCTGGGAGACTGGAGCTCAGAGGAGGTGTGGTGAGAGGGACCAGGGAGTTGTGGGACCGGTGGGAGGGCTCCAGGGCAGGACAGGCCCAGTGCCAGGACTGGCTGATATTGCCATGGATTATGACGTCCCACTCAGTCCCTTGCCTGTGGCAGTTGTGGAACTGTGTTTCTGGGGAGGAAACTGATTTTATCCCCCAAGAAGAGATTCTGTCTGAAAATTTTCCAGGGCTAATGAAAACCAGTATCTATTTTCTTGAATTGGTCAGGATGTTATGACGGGACAGCCCAGATTCCTACGAGATTTTTAACAGCTCCTAATGAAGAGAAAAATCACTGAAACGCAATCAGTTAAATGTGGGAAGAAGAGAAAATCGAGAGTTACAAGTGCACCAACACCATTAAGTGGATACATAACCATTTCCGATGAGCAGTGACTTCCCCCTATGATGCAGCACTGCACTTCTCCCTGCAGATGACAGGTACTCATGAAAAAGGACGGATGATTTGGATGTGGCCAAACAAAGGTTTGTCTAATTCTGCTTCTCTAGCCTGCTCTTGTTAGCAGTGCGGCAGGCAGCCCCGGCTCCCTCTGTGCTCAGGGCAGGATGCTAGGGATGCGTGGACGGAGGAAGAGCTCCTCCACTTCCCTGTGTGACTGGGGCCATCCTTTCCCTCCTTGTCCTTACAGTAATGAGGATGCACCAGGACCTGGAGACAGGTGGTTTCAGGCAGGCACGGTGCAGCCACACAACCCCAGAGGTTCCAAGGGCTTAAATTAACTTAAGATAGGGATTCTAAAATTAATTGTAAACCCCAAAGCATCCAACTCTTCCCCACCCCCAAATATTTTAAAGTACACATAAAAAAACTCCCAACAACACAGCTCAGCACCCCTTTGAAACAGGAGTTTTCGTTCTGTCTGTGTATTTGTTTAATAACCCCAAATTAACTCTGATGCTGCCTACGCGCCTTCCCTTCTTAGCTGGTGCAAACACAGAGTGTGCAAACACACACGTCACACTTTCACATACTGTTCCACGTCCTTACGTTTTCCTCCAGTGTGGTGAGCTGCTCATCGAGTCTGACTGGGTCCGTCCCCAGTGGGAAGGTCCCTCTTCCCCTGTCCTGAATGTCAGCTGGGAAATCGCAGGGACCGGTGGATTCTGCTATCAGTTCTTCAGTGGCGTTGATGACTTTCAGGACTTCTGTAGATATGTTGCAGAGAGAGACAGCAGAGTACTTCTGTTGTGTTACAAGAGCAGACAGAAAAAACAATGGCATTAAATTAGCACGGAGGGGTTGTATGTAGAATGGCCTTGCGAATAGCTGCAGCTTTAGCCGTGCTAAAGCAATACACCTGGCTAGCTGCCGTCAACAGACACAAGAACTGTGTCAGGAAACTGGCATCTACTTCTCTCCCTCCCTTTTTCACATATGCACACTGCTACAGCCTGCAAAATAACATACATGTGCAATTCTTCTATAACCTGATTTCTACTGGAGGGATGGTCCAAATCTTACCCCAAAGGAGCACACAAATATCCAGCTTTAAAATCCAAGTGAGCTGGATAAGGCTATTTTTGCAACAGTGTTTTACACAGGTTTTAAAACACAATCTCCCTTTTTGGGTACTGGCAAACAGATGTGTAATCATCTGTCGCCATATCCACAAGTGCTATTGCACTGCAGCTGCAAACACGGGAGAGCAATCTTCAGCAGCCCTACGAGGACAGCATTTTACAAAGATGTTTGCTATGAATTATATGAAAAAGCCAAAGGTTAAGCTCTAAGTGTGTAAACACCTGCATCCTCACTTTTTTAAAAATTCAATTTAACATTTTTTTAATATTTATGAAATAAATGATATCAAAACCCAAGAAAAATGCAGTTTTACCCATTAAAAAAAACCCCAAAACCCAACTGTTAAGCCTTTTTATCACTGTTCCTTAATTTGTAATTAACTATCCTGATTACGATAATTCTCACAGAGCTTTAGGCTTCAGGACAAATCCTCTGATGGCAACAGAATTTCACCTGATGTACCTTCAAGTGTCAAGCTCAACATCCAAACTATACAGCTTGGAAAAGCTTGTTGAAGCCAATACAAATACTGTCACTGAATTTATATGCAATACCTTTAGCGCTGCCTTGCCGAAACGGAAGTGTGGGAAGTTTAGACCTAAATTTAGTTCATTCCTAAACCTGAAAATACTTCTGCATGTCAATTAGAGGCACACCCATCTGTAAATTTTTCCACAAACAAAATACCTGAGGATCAAACCCAAGGAAACAGTCTTTGGATTGTATATAGTAAATTCTATAGTATGGGAAAGTACAACGGATTAAAAATGTCTGTGTGTTATGTAAATGTTTTAATAATCAATACATCATCTGCCCTCCTAGGCAGGATATAAGAGAAATAACGTTCCTTAGCTTCACGCAAACCCTGGTGGGTTTAACTGGAAAACCTCTTTTATTATATCTTTCCTTTAATTAGCTGTTCGTTTTTATGTTAGATAAGACTTCTACCAAAAAAATGGTTTTTTATCTGCGTGTGCTCAATTGTTGTGTATCAATACATTAAGGCATCTTTAGCACTGTTACTTCTCTGAATGACACGAAATAATTAGACACATGAGATTAAAGGGAAGAACAAAGCAAATACAGTGTGCTACAGCACCCAAATCTTTAGCTTGTTAGCACAGCCAACACAGCCCTGAACAAGCAGGCTGAGGGCTCTCTTACTGAGAACAAATACTTGAACCCCATAAATAGCCTACTGTTTTTTCCATTTATTTTCACAAGTGCCAATTAGGTTAAAAACAGATCAATAATTTTATAGGACAGAAGAGGAAATCGATGTTACTTTGTTTTATTATATGTTTTTACAAGTACCTAATTCTTACTCTAGTCTATGAGTCGTGAACCAAAAAAAAAGATAAAGGCCAGACACTACATTTTCTTCATCATCTTCACTGATGTATGTTCTCCATTTCAAGAACTGTAGCTGCACTTTAGTGTTCATTATTTCTTAAATTTTTTTTATTATCCTTTGTAGTTAATGATGGATTTCCAAAAAAGATTAAATGAAATTAGAAAAAGGTGTTCTGATACCAGAATAAGAGAATCCATATTGGCATTTATTGCACATTACTACAAAACAGGGGTTTTTGGGTTTTGTTTTCCTGGTAAAGTGTTCTGAGATAGGATGATTTACGAAATCAAGATTTTGAGTAAAATATCCTACCTTCTTAATAGGTAATGGATAGGGGAAGAAGGAGAAGAGAGGAGAGGAGAGGAGAGGAAGAGGAAGAGGAAGAGGAAGAGGAAGAGGAGAGGAGAGGAGAGGAGAGGAAGAGGAAGAGGAAGAGGAGGAGGAAGAGGAAGAGGAGAGGAGAGAAGAGGAGGAGGAAGAGGAGAGGAAGAGGGAGAGGGAGAGGAGAGATTTTCTCGGTTGGAAGTGACCTACAACAATCACCTAGTCCAACTGCCTGACCAGTTTAGGGCTGCCAAAGTTGCAGCATATTATTAAGGGCATTGTTCAAATGCCTCTTAAACATGGACAGACTTGGGGCATCGACCACCTCTCTAGGAAGCCTATTCCAGTGTTTGACTACCCTCTTGGTGAAGAAACGCTTCCTAACGTCCAGACTAAACCTCCTCTGGTGCAGAAATGTGATTTTTAGCTTTTCTAGAATTTTGAGGTAAGCGGCAGACGCTGTTTGACTTTTAAACCCAAAGGTTTGCTTCCCATTAAACACTGCACAAGGCAGCTGGATGACTGTTGTTAAAGTGTGTGCATCACTCAGCGTAGCTCGATCCCAGCCTGCAGGTATTTAAACACAGAAGTCACAACGTTGAAGTTTTTCTTCAAGCTTGTGAAACATCCACTTTTATAGTATAACAAGGATACAGCACTAGAATGTAAACACCATAAAGAAATACATGGTAAGCAAAGCTGATTTTCCTTAGAGTGTATCTGAAGAGGAAATCTCCCCAAACTGAAGAGCACAAGCAATATTTCACTGTATTTAAATCTAAACTTTGTAAAAGTTTTCTGCTAAAGGACAGTTAGAACTCACAGCTTTAGTTTACAGAGAAGCAAGAAGAGATTAATGTTTGCCTGAGAGACATAAAATCAACATGTGGGGAGTTCAAGGGTTCTCAAATTGGGAAAAATCGTATGCTAAATTATGGTTTTGTTATGTTTTTATCTCTTTCTTTTGAGCAACTGTCAAAAGCTGTTAAAGCAGCTCATGTTCCAAAACAGGCAGTTTGCAAATCTAGTGGGGTACTCTAGATGTAATTATTTAACATGTGTAAGGAAAAATAAATAAATAGAAAGTGTGTCCTGGAGTTTTAGTGCTTCACAACCCTCTCCCCTCCCACCCACGTCAACTTAGGATTTACGAGGTTCCATAAAAATCACGTAAAATTCACAGACACACACACCCCAAGAACATCCCGGTAGGTAGACATTTCGAATCGCTCTAAAGACCTCTTGGCTGTCTAATTTATCTGGCCCGTGGAGGAAAGGTCATTGTCAACACCTACATGCGATTCAAAGAGACAGCTATCACGCCATGATGAAGTCTCTCGCATCTGTCTTGTCAAGCAAGTGAAAAGAACTAATATGGATGTGACAGATGCAGAAAGCAATCTCCGTTACACATATCTAGCACAGAAAGGCTGAGCGCAACCATTCTTCTCGAAACACTGGGATGCATTCTGATTTCGACTGCGCTGCCCTACTTCTGGATTAATACCACCCCTCCTGAGTTTGAAATCGAACCTGATCCAAATTTGAATGCTTCTGCTGGTAAAAAGAATCTCATTCTTTACTGAATTTGAGACTAAGAGTTTCATTGAATGAGGAAAACATGCCTTTGTTCTTTTTATGACAAATAATGCCCACACTCCCAAATACGTTGACGACGCAGTCAAAAGGAGATGGTCATTTGCCCTGAGTGCTTCGTGAGAGAGTTTTAAAACCAATGAAATGCTAAAAAAAATGTGTGTCTGCAAGCACAAATACATGTATGTGTGCACTGCATATAGCAAACAGCATCTTGTAAAACTTCTTTACTGTCATTTCCATGTGCAGTTGGACAGATGGAAAGGATTCCTGTTTTGCTGAAGATTATGTTTCAGTGGTTCGAGCTGACTCTTGCTGACAGCTATTTCCCTTCCCTTCCGTTGCCTGTCTTTCCTTACTGATGCTGCCAATATTTCCTTTGTTGTTCTACCTAAGGATGCTATACTGGAAGGTGCTGAGTTAACTGAAGCAAACGTTAAGTGTCCAAACTGCTGAGACTAGGTGAGCATTAAGTCCTGGTATGCACTCAGCAGCCTATGACATTTCCACAGCAATTTTCCTTTGCATGAACATTATTTCTTTTATTTTTAATGCTCCTAAAGTAGTTCTCTATCACTTGCACTGATTTTTTATCTACGTTGAACTCTGCCATTAGCATTTTCTCTTCCTTTCTACCATAATGTTATGCCATCATTAGGCTCTATTGAACCGACATGGGAGGCAGTGACTTGCAATTCAATAGAGAACAGCTGACATAACAGATCAAGGAGAGCAAGAAAAACTTTCCATCATTAGCAGCCCTGGAAGTACTGACCACATCCTTGACGACTTGTGCTATCGTTTTTAGTTTCAGTCTCGAGCTGTTCTATCACGCTGAGAGTCTCGTGCCTGTTTCAGTTGATACCCCTCGTTTTTTGGTAGGGAGTTGAGAAGTGCTGGGGAGAAGATGAGTTTTGCTTTGCCACTGGTTGATTCATCTTTTTAGAGAAACCTGGCTGCATCTAAACTTGACAAAACTAAAACCCAAACCTGCCTCCCTCATCTCCCCACCCTGTGAGAGTTCATTGTACGGCTTTGGGAAGAAAAGCCCACCAAAAGCCCATCTCCTTCACAGGCAGGCAAAATCTGGGACACTGGACAAGTCACAGTGTGGGAGGAACAGAGACATCAATCCCCAGCTATCAACAGCAGTCGTCAACCCTGACCCTCAAAAGACCTTTGGCCTAGAAGAGAGCCCTAACCACTCATGACCACAAAGACTGGGAAAGAAAGCTAAATTTGCTTTGATATTTGATGGAAGACAAGCATACTATGCGAATCACTTTTCTGTGCTAGTTTAAGACTTCCCGCCTTAACATCAATAACTTCATTTCTGGGCACTCATTTAGAAAACGAAAGCTAAATTATCTTAGAAAGTGAGCTATTA